TTGGTGCTTGGTACATGAGTTTAGACACCCTGGTCATTGTTTTCGAAGGAAAATAGATCATTTTGTATTTGGGTGTTCAACTTTCATTTGGTTTAGTGTTTGGGAGTATGGCTAGTGCCAATAGCTAAATGGCTTAAAGATCTACGTGTGGAGACTTAAATCACTTAAATTGGATGTCAGATGACAAAATGACAAACTTTAAAATTTAGACTTAGAGTGCTATCATGACAGCAAAAGTGTGCCATAGCTCAAGGTATGTGACTCACGATGCATTGCATAGCGAATGCCTTAGGCTTTTCATGTGTCGCAACGGATGAAACACTTTTGGAGTAACTTAAAATGCCCTTTTTGTGCTTGTTTGAGATGATATTTGACTTTCTTGCTTCCATTATTTTTGGTAACTTGTTTTGAACTATAGTTTGAGTTTAAATGGCTTTTCAAAAAGGATTTCTTGAGATTTCAATCTTTTAAATTAGTTTCTAAACCCTTATGTCACGATAGCCTTATATAAAAAATTTAATTAATCCTAGTTATCATAATAGTATCTGGTGTTTTGTGTTCTGTGTACCTGGTAATGTTAGAGAGGACATTACAGGCTCTAACATTTTTCAGGCGAATTCAAGTTGTCTCATTGGGCTTGGCTCGAATTACTAACTCTAATCTAAATAGTGTTGTTGCTTGCTCATGATAATGTAAAAAAAATCTTAATTTTATTTTCTTTAAATGAAAAATTCAACGATCTTAACTTTAATTAACATATTTAACATATCAAACTAGAAAAGATTAATTAAAACAAAATAAAGTACAAGGGTCTTATTTAAAAGGATTAAAGGGAAAAAATATTGAACAACTTTTCTCCAAGAGCACCCAATATTTTTAAGCAAACAAATGTACAAGAATATTCATGAACTTGTTGTATGAGTGTTACAATCCCTATCTCATTAAATTTAACTAACATTCATTAATGTTGATCATAAAAAAAAAGAGCAAATATGAGGTGAAAAAATACTCAAACTTTTTTTGTATGATCTTTATTAATCGTAATTAATGTTCTTAAAAGACCCTTAAAAATTATTTTCTCTTGTATTTTATTTCTCAATACTTATTAGTTCTATACTTACAACAATAAAAAAAAATAAAAAGTTATAATAAATAAATACTTATTATTTTCTCCTATATTTTATATTATTTCACCTGTTTAATAAGATTTTACTCTTTTTTAAATAAATAAGTTTCAACAAAGAATAGAATTATGAAAATAATATACCATCTTAATCTATCTGCTAGTTTCTAAATGACAGTCATAGGACAATGCTTAGTATCTACTATCTTTCCAATCAAATTTGTTCGCTGGATTTTTTTTTTTTTTTAGCAAATTGCTAGTCGGATTTTGAATTGATGGCTTTGCCAACTGAATTTATCAGTAGAGCTTTTTGCAATATAAATAGCATACATCTTAATAATTATTAATACCTTTAATTAAATATAAAATATAAATTAATATCAATATCAATTTAATATATAATCTAAAATTTAAATTAACATAGTCTATTCCTTATAATAATAATAATAATAATAATAATAATAATAATAATAAGAAGAAGAAGAAGAAGAAGTTTGCTGATGATATTGATATTGATATTTTTTTGGTTTATCTAATATGAATACTTGCATTGAATCATTTAGACCATGTTCTTTTTTAAAAAAAATCATAATTTTAGGATCTTTATTAATTATAATTATGTTCTTAAAAGATCTTTAAATATTATTTTCTCTCATATTGTATTTCCCAAGACTTACAACAATTAAAAAAAAGTTATAATAAACAAATACTTTCTTCCTCCGTTCAAAAATGTAAGTCATTTTTTGAGAAGTTGGATGTTAAAAAATATAAAAAAATTTTAGTCTTTCAAGATGTAATCATTACCTTATTTTTAAAAGTACCCCTATTAATGAATGACTTTATATCTATTGTAGGATGTTTAATAGGGGTAAATATAAAAAGACAGAATTAATTTGAAAGTAGGTAATTATTTTCTTTGGAAGTGAGATTCAATCAAAAATACCTTATATTATTATTTTTCTCTCACATTTATATTCTTTCATCTGTTTAGTAAGATTTTACTGATATTCGAATAAGAAGTCACAAACAAAAGGAAAAAAATAAAATAAAAAACAAACTACGCAAGTGAGACGCCATCTTAATCTATGTACTAGTTTTTAAATGATAGTCATAGAATAACTAGATTTTTAACTCATGTGACATATGGGATCATTAATCCACCCAATTCAAGAGATATAGTGGGAAGGAGACAAAAACTTTAATGAATTTGTTTTTCTAAAATAAGCAGTTTATTTGTAACTATATGCATGTTAAAAATATAAAGAATAATTTTTTTATTTCAAAATTTGTAATCCTACTTAATTAAAAATAAAATTTGTCAAGACAAAAATTGATTGTAATTTAAAAAAACATAAATATAAAATATATTAATATAATAACATTTTGAAGATGTAAACAATATTATAAATTTTAAAAATACAATTTCAATTTAAAAATATAATTTAAATTTAAATTTCTTAAAAACTTAACACCATCAATTTTAATGCAAAAATAATTAAAAATAATTGCTTTGGATGGCATTGTATCAAAAAGTCATTTGGTAAAATAAAATAATGCCAGACAAGTCTTTTGTAACTTCATGATAATTATTCTATTATATGGAACTTTATTACTCTCTTTGTCTCAAATTATAATACACTTTTAGAAAAAATTCAGTATTTAAAAATATAAAGCACTTTGAGAAAAATAAAGTTTCATTAATGATCCTTTTCAAAATTTTCCTTCTCATATATTTTCCCTCTTCAATATTCTTTCATTAATAGAGTATTAAATGAAAATTATTTTTAAAAGTTTATATTTTTGTCTTAAAAAAGTAAGGTTATAAAATGTATCTAATGAACTTTATTGATACGTAAATTTTTTTTAAAAGTATTTTATAAATTAGGATGGAGGGAGTATTATTTATCTATCTGAGAGGTATTTTTATATTATTCTTCTTTTTTAAAGTGATGGTTTTGCCAACTAAATTTACTAGTAGAATTTTGTGCAATATAAATAATATACATGTTAATAATTATCAATATCTTTAATTTAATATAAAATATAAATTAATATCAATTTATTAATACCAATCTAATATAAAATCTAAAATTTAAATCAAATTAATTTATTACTTAGTATCATTATCATTTATTGTTATTATTAGAGTTTGTTGGTGATATTGATCTTTTTGGTTTATCTAATAATGATATTACTTGCATTGAATCATTTACTTTCGTCACAATTTCATCAATATCAATATTAATATCAACGTAATATAAAATCTAAAATTTAAATCAAATCAATCTATTCCTGTATCCCATGTATTAGGACTTGATTAGATTTCAGTATGCCAGAGACGAACACACGAGTCAAAGGCTCATATATATATATAGATTTATAGAGTTTATACATGAAGTTCAACCAAGTTAGAAGTAACGAGAGTCTTAGCTTTTGATTATCTTATTTCTTTTCATTACTCAATAATTAATGGGCTTAATTTGTCTCATTCATTAAACTTTCCTTTAATTTAATTTTCCGGTCACAGAATGAGGAACGTGGTCAATCGAATTCCTCGTGAGATCAATATATAATACCTGTTACGTGTCGCTCTGTTACTGGTCATGGTCTGTGATCTCTTTGCGGGACCCACTTAGTGAACGCACCAGCATGTCTCTGCTCTGCTCTTACGCCTTTCCGTAGTACCCCTGTTTTTTGGTCTGTGTGTTATGTATATTTGGCTGTTGACGGGCTCTCCTCCTCCTCCACGCAAAACCCTTCTTGGCTAATAATAGCACAGTAAGCTAACATTGTTTCTCCAGCTTTCTCAGTTTACATTCTTTATGTTTATCGCTTTTCTTGTTGTTTTCTGCAATTTTTGTCTTTGCTATTTCTGTTCTTGTTAAATATCTCTGCTAGTTTCTGATAAAGAAAAGTAGTTCCACTAGTTGCTACATTGTGGAGTTTGCATGCTGTGTTTTATCATCTCTCTGGTAATATATAAACTCTGTTTCCTTCTTGAGTTTTCTTGTCTGTATTTTTGTATCCATGAAGTAAATGATCTTTTGGATTTCTTTTTTCCTTCTTTTTGATAGCCGCAAGAGCTTTTCAACATGACTTTCACTCTTCCAAGTCTCTTCTTCATGTCTCTTGCTTGCTTTTCTGGTTTCTCTTTCTCTCTCTCTCCACGCCTTCTGTTTTTTTCTCTCGTTTCTCTCTCATGTTTATCATCTCTCTGGTAATGTATAAACTCTGATTGCTTCTTGAGTTTTTTTGTTTTGATTTTTGTATCCATGAAGTAAATGATCTTTTGAATTTCTGTTTCCCATCTTTTTGATAGATAGCCGTAAGAGCTTTTAAACATGACTTTCACTCTTCCAAGCCTCTTCTTCATGTTTTCTCTTTCTCTCTCTTCATGCCTTTAACTTTCTTCTCTGGTAATATATAAACTCTGTTTCCTTCTTGAGTTATCTTGTTTTGATTTTTGTATTGATGAAGTAAATGATATTTTGGATTTCTGTTTTTTTTTTGGCTCTTTTTAATAGCCGTAAGAGCTTTAAAACATGACTCTCTCTCTTCCAAGCTTCTCCTTCATGTCTCTTGCTTGCTTTTCTGGTTTCTCTTTCTCTCTCTTCACGCCTTTTCCTCTCTCATGTTTATGGTTTCTTTTTCTTCTTCTTAACTTGTTGCGGGCCTTATTTTGTTCAGAGCTCTTCTGTTTTCTGCAGTCTTATTTGATTCCATGTCCTTTAACATCTGCATTACAAGTATTTATACCTCTATATATGGTTTTGTTTGACTGTTTAAGATTCCTTTATAATTATAATCTTAGTTGATTGTTTCGTTTTGATTCAAATGCATCATATTTGACAGACAATTTTCAGCATTAATTTAAGGAATGGCTTCTTCAAGTCCTAACATGGGAACTGATAAGCATGGATCACTGTCACCTCTTGGGCCTGCCATAAGTCTCCAAGTTGAATCAGAGAAAGCTTGCGTGCCTAAGAAGAAAACATCCGATGGAAAATTCTTACCTACGGGCAGACGTGGTTATGGATCCAAGGGCCAAAAGATTCAACTTCTGACTAACCATTTTAAAGTTAAACTAACCAATAAAGATGGCGGCTTCTATCACTACACTGTATTTCCTCCTCTCTCTCTTCCATTTGAATCTTTTACATTCACATGAATGACTACATCAAAATATGTGAAAATAGAGTGTTGAATTTATATTCTTGATTCGTGATTTGATATTATAAGTTTTTGTTGGTGTAGGTTGCTCTGTTTTATGAAGATGGACGCCCTGTGGAAGCTAAGGGGATTGGGAGAAGAGTGATAGACAAAGTTTATGAGACCTATGCTTCTGAGCTGCAAAGCAAGAACTTTGCTTATGATGGAGAAAAGTCCTTATTCACTCTCAGTTCACTCCCACATAACAAGCTTGAATTCAAGGTTGTGCTAGATGAAATTTCATCAAACAAGTAAGTTCCTATTGCTATAAGTGCTACATGATCCGATGTGGATCCTCTCCTAATATTCTTTCAAGACATTCATCCATATGCAATGTTAACTATCAGATTAGAATCTGACAGTTCAAAATTATTGCTTCTTTAATATAAATAAACTAGTGACAGACCTAGAAATGTTGAATTGTGGGGCATTACGCATTGTCACATAAGAATATCACTGGAGGCGATTAATATCCAAGAGATGGGGACATATAATACACGACACACACACACACATTAAAAAATAGAAAAAAGAGTTTCTGGACTAAACACATCAATGTACTCTACGGATAGAGGAATACATAGAGTTGAACATAGTAAAATAAGAAATTAAAAGATTTCGTTGAAATTATTCGTTTGAAAATTTCTTGAAAAGCTAATCATCGGTTTTTTCCTCTATCGGAACAATAGGACCATTATGCTCATTACTAAACTTGTTGAAGAGATAAAATATAACCAAGGTATATCCTTTTGATCAGAGGTTGAATCGATTATTGAAAGAAGAATTAGGCCTAAAATTAGGATACATTCTGGAAAAATAAAACTTCCATCGAAGAGAAGCAAATGAAAGGCTTTCATAAAAATTCTCATAGAATCAAGAATGAAGTTTTTATTCTGTACATGCCAAATCATAAATTAATAACTGCATCCGATCTTCAAAAAAGTCCCAATTGTTTTGAATTTTTTCTTTTTGGAATGAAATATTTATAGAATATCCATGAATAGGACCAAACTTTATTTCATGATATTTACATACATTCCTCTTTCTCATTTTAAGAAAGTCCCCTAGAGGGCTTAGTTGATCCGTGATTTATGTTTGATACTACACCGTTTGGCTATTAGAGTCTGAATATAATTTCAGCAGGTGGATCAAGCAGTTGGATTCATTCTGATCAAATGGTTGGCATTGTGCATGGAGAGACGGAATGAGAGAACATAGGAGAGAATCTGAATTCCTACATGATCTGCTTTTTCATTAAAACTCAATAGCAAACAAACAACTTCACCAAAATGCTTTGTTCTGATTCATCACTGTAAATTTATTATTATTATTAATTTTTTCAGGCTTGGAAAGAATGGAAGCGCTGACAACAACACAGAGGGAACTGATAAGAAGAGAATGAGGCGTCCATTTCAGTCCAAGACTTACAAGGTGGAGATCAGTTATGCTAAAAAAATCCCAATGCAAGCAATTGTAGATGCATCGAGTGGTCTAGAATCTGATCATCACCAAGAATCATTAAGGGTTCTGGACATCATATTAAGGCAGCGTGCAGCAAAGCAGTATGTTTAAAATCAAAACAGAACCTTTTCAATTGCTTTGTTTTGATTTCAGTTTAACTTTCCTTCCTTTTGATTCACTAGGGGCTGTCTGCTTGTGCGCCAATCATTCTTCCATAACAAAGTAGAAAATTACAGAGACATCGGAGGTGGTGTTCAAGGTTGTCGTGGTTTTCATTCGAGTTTCCGAGCCACTCAAGGAGGTTTGTCCTTAAATGTTGGTAAGTTTTTCACTTGAAGGCTTGGTATGGATGGAAGAAAAAATGAGAGAAACTAAAAAGAAATTCCCAAAAATAGTATTTTTTAAACTGTTTTTAGAAGTTTTCCTTCCTCTTCATTTTTCTCCCCATCCAAACAAAGAAGAAATGTCAGGGAAATCATGTTTGTAGACGTGTCATGTTTTTCTTTATCTGATATTATTTGTTATTGTTGTAAAGATGTGTCAACAACATTGCTTCTAAAACCTGGTCCAGTGTTGGACTTCCTCTGCATGAATCAAAATGTTAACCATCCTGGCTTAATTGATTGGACCAAGGTACTGTTATACCCTACCACTATCTTATTAATGATTTTAATTCCCATTATCAGAAAGTTTCACGAACAATGTCTGATGAATTTGGCATTATTTTCAGGCAAAAAGGATGTTGAAAAACCTGAGAATCAAGGCTAACAATATGGAGTACAAAATCACTGGATTGAGTGAAAGGCCCTGCAAAGATCAAACGTAAGCTTTCTTGTTCTTTCTATTGTTTAACATTAATTTGTTTGATATTTTAGTTAGTTCCATGAACTACACTGATAAGATTTTCTTGGCCGCTATTGTAGATTTTCCTTGAAGCAAGGAAGAGAAGCAAACGGTGAAGTCAAGTCAATTGAAATAACAGTTCGTGAATATTATGAACGCCATAAAAACATCAGATTGCTTCATTCAGCTAATTTGCCATGCATCAATGTTGGCAAACCAAAGAAGCCTACTTATTTTCCGTTAGAGGTACTAATATGTTTACCCACACACATATATAAACACTTTTTTTTTAAAGAAAAACTTTGAAAAAATTAATCTTTTAATTCTTCAATTTTTAATTTATTTGTAATTCAGTCCTTCAACTATAATTCACCCATGACTCAGTCCTTCAACTTTTGATTGACTTTTAATCCAATCCCTTAACTGTTGTTAGCTCTATTTTTTTATTTAGTTTAGATTCTACATTAAAGAGCAAGATGATGGTATTTTAAAGCAAAATATGAACATTTTTATTCCTTTTATTTGATGAGGAATTATTTTAAAGAAAAATTAAAAAATAAGGACCGAGTTATAAGTGAGACAAAAGTTGAGGAACTAAATCGCAATGAGTCATAGTTGAATAACTGAGTTACAATGAGTCATAATTGAGAGATTGAGTTACAGGTAAGTTAAAAGTTAAAGAATTAAAAGATTAATTTTTTCAAAAACTTTTGATGATTGTAGTTGGATTTTATAGAGTTTGTTTTCTTAAAATATCGTATATATTAAGTTAACCTAATGATTACCATTGAATTTTTTTTAATATTTCATTCTTTTAATTTTATCAAAAATTTTAAATTGATTTTTTAATATAGTGTTATGAGCAAACAATGTATTGTCATTAGGTATTCATAATTCATGTTTTTTAAAAAATGTTTTTTCCAGAAGGTAATTGTATTTTTGTTAATATTTTACTTGTTCTTTAATCCTTTTTTTAATACTAAAATAAGACTGGTTCATCTTGAACTATATGTAAATACCATTAATAAAAAATGAAAATGAGTTTAAACCCACTGTAACATTTTTTTAAAAAAACTATTCTCTTTTTGAGTAAATGTAGGAAATTCAAATTTAATTGTGATGACAGTTGTTCTTTTGTAGCTCTGTACTTTGGTTTCATTGCAACGCTACACTAAGGCCCTTACCAGCTTGCAAAGAGCTTCAGTTGTGGAAGTGTCAAGGCAAAAGCCCCATGAACGAATGACATCTCTGACAAATGTATATTTTGACTTGTCACATTTTCTATTCATATCTCTTTTTTAGCCAAACTCTGACACATCTGACATAGTTCTAAATGTTGATAATAAAATGCTCTTTGTTCAGTCACTAAGAAACAGCGGATATAATGACGACCCTATGTTTCGTTCTTCTGGAATTGATATTGGATCTCAGTTTACAAGAGCTGAAGGTCGTGTTCTACTAGCTCCAAAGGTATGTGGTTCTCTTTACATGCGCTCATTGGTACATAAACACACAACAGCATTCAATTCATTCATACTTACTCCATCCGATGATAATTATAAGTCACTTGTAATTAACTCAAAGGAACTAAGAAAATTTAGTCGCATGATTGAAATTGTCTATAAATTGTTTTAATTTTCATTTTTACTCCTAATAAAAACCATAAATTTTGAAAACAAACATTCATTATCTTCTCATTGAAAATTGAGAAGGGCATGTTTGGAATAAAGCAATTAATGCTGCACAAACTCTTGTGAAGTGATTTCTATTTTGGACTATAAAATTCTTCTAAAAAATAACTTATTCCTCTAATCCTATTTATAGAATAGAAAGAGATAGTGTATTTGTTTTAACCTTACTTTTGGGATATCTCAATGATTATTGTATTCATTTGTACTTTTTTGCTCCTATATTAAATACTAAAATATTTTATTTTTAATATATATATATATATATATTTAATAGGGATAAAATTAGAAATTTGTTAAATTTTTAAACAGAGCTATTGAGGTTTAATGTTCTCTTTAATTCCAGTGAAATATGCTAAAGCTAATTTATACTCAGAGGAACTATTGCATTAGTTATCCCTAATTCTAATTCCATATGAACACTCATCATCCTCTGGCATGCATTTTTCTTCTAGCTTTGAGACAATACTGATATATAATACCAATATGTTGATGCAGCTTAGAGTTGGAAAGGGGGAAGAATTCTTGCCCAGAAATGGGAGGTGGAATTTCAACAATAAGGTTTGGCCACAACATAAATAAATATATATATATATATATATATATCATTTTAAATTCAATATTGTGAGTCTCACAGAATATAACCATCCATGTGTCATCAGCAACTTTTTCAACCTGTGGTGCTTGCACGTTGGGCTATAGTCAGCTTCTCAGCTCGTTGTAACATACGCCAACTTATTGAAGGCCTGAAAAGATGTGCACAGATGAAAGGGATGGTAATGAGTTTTCCATAGTTCTCTTTTATTCGAAAATTGACATGAATCTTACTCTTTACTTTTCCTCTTTTTTTTTTTTTTCTTTTGTTAGACCTTGTACGAACCAGTTGGAGTGTTTCAAGAGGATCAACGTATGAGTCGTAAACCAGCCAATGTCAGGGTTGAAGAATTGTATAAAATTGTGATGAATCAAATGCCTGGGTTGCCCCAATTTCTATTGTGCATCCTACCAGAGAGGAAGAATTCTGATATTTATGGTACTCATATTTACCTGGCTTTCATTTTTTTTTTATATTCTTGTATTGTTTATGATTTATATATGTTAAAATCAATTATGAACCCAAAAATATTATTTAGAAAATATCTTATATGATTTTTGGATAAATTTCTAGAAAATTATTAATGAAAAGCTGAATTAAAAAGGAGATAATAGTAACTTATAAAATTACTATGATATTTATTCATAATTAATTTTAACATGTATAAAAAAAATCAATTTCTTTTGATCATTTGATGGAAAACCAAATGGGCCCCATGAACGTTGAATGGACTTTGATTTTGAGCTCTCTAATTATTGTATCATGAAGGTCCTTGGAAAAGAATAAATCTTGCAAAAGATGGAAAGGGAGAAGGGGTTGTTACACAATGCATTGCACCAACAAAAATGAATGACCAATACTTCACCAATGTTTTATTGAAGATTAATGCCAAGGTACATATAATTAAACAAAAAAAAAACTAATTTGAGTCTCTTATTTAAACTTTATTCTCACTTTTTTTTTTTTTTGCTTCCATGCAGCTTGGTGGGATGAATTCCTTTTTGGCAATAGAGCATTCACAATCCATACCTATAGTTTCAAAAGTGCCTACCTTAATTCTTGGTATGGATGTCTCACATGGCTCTCCTGGTCGATCAGATGTGCCATCTATTGCTGCGGTAATGATATTATCAGTTTTATCAACCATACCCAATCTATAGAGATGACTGTTTAGAGTGTTAATCCGAGTTAGATTTTATTTTTTTTTCTTCTTGAATATTGAACCCTAAATTTAATTTAAATTTTTAATTAATATTCTTAATGTTGTTATGTTTTATTATTGTCAGAAAATTATAATTATTATTTGTATAAGGTTTTATAGATGGATTTTTTTATTTACTTAAGAATTAATGACTTTTTATTTAAATATCATTGTATTTCATAATCAAATGTAAATATTTTTGTATATTTTAATTAAATTATATTATTTTAATTATGATCAATTTAACTTTGAGTTGATCATTGGTTGAACAATTACCATTAAATCATTGTCTCGATCATTTCAATAACTGATCTAATTTTGAATATCTTGCTCTAAAAAACATAATTGCATGATTGGAAATGTCCATTTAGTTTGGAATAAAGACAAGTGGGTCGTATACGGTCACATTTTTGTGTGCCTCAATTTAGCCCACAGATTTTAGTGCCAATTGGATTAGATGTGTTAAAGTCATGTAGTTATGTTTTTCCAGAACAAAGACACAACATATATGATTGTATTTGGGGTCTATTTCATATTTCCCTCATTCTTGATAAATACAATATTTGCAGTCATTTAGTGACCAAAGAGTATTTAAATTGACATTCTTTGTCCTTTTTTATCTATTACTCTTGGAATATGCATGATATGTAACTAATCATGTAAGGGGTCTACATTAGTCCCTAATAGTAATAGCAGCAATGATATAAAGTTAAATAATTTTTAGTTCACAATCTCATTGGTTTTGTATTTGGAAAATTTTAGGTTGTCAGCTCCCGGTATTGGCCTCAAGTTTCCCGTTATCGAGCATCAGTTCGTGCTCAGACACCAAAACTAGAGATAATTGCTAATTTGTTCAACCCTGTTTCTGATACTGAGGACCATGGCATTTTTAAGTGAGTATGCCTCATTTATGTCAAAGAGAACAATTTTTTTTCCTCATTTTATTAAATTTTGGGAGAATGACAATAAATTCCAAAACTCAATTTTTATGATAGTTAAGTCATTGACAACTTTTTTTAATTAAAATTTAAATATCTTATTTAAAATTAGAACTTATGAAATTATAGCTATTAGAATCAATATTCACAATTGTTTTTTACAAAGTTTTATTAAAAACTAACTATCATAAATTTTTATTTTTGGACTTTAATATGTGATTCTCCCTTAAATTTTTGTGTGCTTACGTCCATGATTTAAAATTTTATAATGTTTTTTTAGGGAGTTGTTGGATGACTTTATTAATTCTTCAGGAATGCGGCCTGAACATATTGTCATATTCAGGTATAATTTAAATAAGTTTAAATACATTGATTTTTATCATTTGGAATAATATTATTTTCTACGATGTCAAATTGACACTGCCTCATTAGTTTGAATTGATAGTGTGTGTACACTTTTCAAGAATTTTGGAAGCTTTTTTAAACTTTTCACCAACTTTTTTATTATTCTTTTACAATTCATAAAATACTAACTTAAAATTTTTTTAGTTCCTGAATATATAGTTGTTCTTTGTTTGAAATTAGGGATGGAGTGAGTGAATCACAATTCAGTCAAGTATTGAACATTGAGTTGGATCAAATCATTCAGGTAATTAACTCTTTTTTTTTATTATCAATATTCTCAATTCTAACACTGCCTTCTTATCATGTTTAAAATAAACTGAATGCCATTGGAATTGAACTTTCAGGCTTGCAAATGTTTTCAAGAAAGTTGGGATCCAAAATTTACTGTGATCATTGCCCAAAAAAATCATCATACTAAATTCTTCCAGCAGGTCAATGCCAGAGAAAATGTTCCACCAGGTTTGTCCCTTGAACTGCTTACACTTTCAATATCCTTGCATTACAAGCATACTAAACACATTAATTATTATTCACCACTTGCTATACATTTTATGTATTTTTTTGGGAGGAATGACAAGTAAGAACCTCATAACAAGATTAATGCCAAATCAATATTTATTAAAAAATATTTTAGTAATCAGAGCCACATTGATTTCAGGGGGTGCAAATGCACCTCTCACTTTAGGAAAAATTACAAGTGGGGCATATAAAATTTATAATTTTGCACCCCCACTCATGATATTTTGCACCCTCTAAATTAAAGGCAAAATATTTATGCTCAAAAACTTCTTAAATATATAATGTTATTGATGATCATGATAAGATACAAAGAGCATATTTATAATAAAAGATCATATTAATTTGTTCAATGTAATTTTTTTAAAATGAAAATGTTGATAAAATTATTATATTTTTATAATTTTAGTCCTAGCATAATAATTATTTTTTTAAAAAATTAATTTTTTATTAAATTATTTTGCATCTCTTGACTCGAGGTCTTGGCTCTACCACTGTTAGTAATGCAACATGGGATAAAGAATATTGAATTTGAAAATTTTAATTATGAATAAATCCTAAGTTGTCATAATTTTCTTGTGAGGTTCTTTTTTGTCATTCTCATTTTTTTTTATCTTGCCTGTTGATATATTGTTGCAATTTCCCCCTTTTTTTTTGGCAGGCACTGTTATTGATAATACAGTTTGTCACTCTAAGAACAATGATTTCTATATGTGTGCTCATGCTGGGATGATTGTAAGTATTTCTATTAGAATAGTGATTCATTTGATTTTTGAGCTTATTATTTCTTTTCAAATGGCATTGAAAAACAGTAGTTCAATAGAAAAAGACTTGAGTTTTTAAGATGTTACAAAGCTTTTTCATGACTTTTTCTTGTGATCATGCTGCTGGTTGTTCTATTGTTTGTATAGGGAACAAGTCGGCCTACTCATTACCACGTGCTATGTGATGAGATTGGTTTCTCTGCTGACGAGTTGCAAGAATTCGTGCATTCTCTCTGTTATGTGTAAGTAATCAAAGTTTTTACTTTAAATCAAAGAACTACCTTTTAGGCGAATGTGTTAGACTCCCATCAACTCATTAATCTTAATCCAAAATATAAGTATTTATTAACCTATATTTTTGTATATGTGAATTAAAGACCTTCTCACTCACCACAAATTGAAATTAAAGATAAAAATAATAATATAATTCTATCGTTTTAAATTATAAAATACTTTTAGACAAAATCTTATATACTAATAAATCTCATTAAATACATTTAACAACTTTATCTTTTCAAAATAAAAATATAAAATTCAAAAATATTCATCTAAAATGTAATATATTAAAAAAAAGGGATGAAAATTAGTTATAAAAGAAAAAATGTAATATTAGAATTGATGTATTTAATGAAACTTTAATTTATCTAAAATGTCTTATATTTTGAGATGGATAAAATTATTTAAAAGTACCTTATAATTAAAATAAAGGGAATATATTTTTATGAAAATAAAAACTATATTAATATGCGAATTGTTGTTCAAAGATGCTTATATTTTGACCTAAAGTGAAGATATTGTAATAACATTACGCTTGTTCCTATAAAAAATGACAACCCATGTTTCATGCGCATTGCTAAAAGCTCAAAGAATAAGTTACATTGTTCACCTATCATCTTATAGAATAAGTAATATTTAAATAAAAAATACAAAAGTAAAATAATGATATATTCTATTCATATTTCATTTAACCATTCCGAATAAGATATTCACTCTACACATCTCTTACGATGTACAGATCCGAATTTAAAGAATTCTGCCTGTATAGTGTTCCTTGTATATAGCAATATGTGACTAACAATTTTTCTTAAACTTCTTTATTTACAGGTATCAGAGAAGCACCACAGCTATATCAGTTGGTAAGATTTTTCATTTAGCTCTCATTAATATACTGTAGCTTAATTTGTAGATTTTGTTCAAAGCTGAAACATTTTCTCTCTACAATAATATTATTTGTTTATTCAAAATGCTGAAATCTGAGTCCTCATTGCAGTTGCTCCAATCTGCTATGCTCACTTAGCAGCAGCACAAGTGGCACAGTTCATCAAGTTTGATGAACTTTCAGAGTCGTCGTCTTCTTCATCTAGTAATCAATTTCATGAGTTACCTCGTCTTCATGATCGAGTCCGCAACTCAATGTTCTTCTGTTAGAAATTTTAATGTCTGGCTCTTTATTTTTTGGCTAAGTTAACAAGTAATGGTGTTAACAAGTTACACGGAAGTTGTTTCACAAAGCAGTTTTTGATTAGGTTTTACACTGCACTATGCAGGTTTAGGAAAAGGTTCTTGTCATGGTGTTTGAATTTTAACAAAATCCCTAATTTAAAAATATTAAAATTTATGAATTTTAAATTTAAATTTATTATTTATTGTTGTTGTTTTATAATTTTAAATTTCCTTTGTATCTTAGTCCGTTGAAATTCTAGTAAAATGACCCAATTATTTTTTGAAAAAATTGCTAGTAAGTTCTTTTTTAAAGTCAAAATTGTGCTGGATGATCAAGGGATTAGGGTGCAAGCAATAGACTTGGAATTTCAGCTATTTGCAAGCATCCTAAATCTATCTGCTAGCATCCTGGTTTTTTGATTTTTTAGTATAATTTCAATCCTAATTTTCCTTGAAGATATTGTTATTTTGTTCAAATAATTTCCCTCTCCCCCCCCCCCAACCAAAATCAAAGCTACACATGGACCCATTTTCCAATTAACTTTACCGGCTAAAGTTATTATTGACCCATATAATAGAAAATAATATTTTTATTATTAATGGCACCTTCCACTTTAAATTTGAGTTATTACTTTGATATAATGGAAATAAAATTCCAAAATAAAAAATCTATGACAATTAGGTTTCAGATAATTTTTTTTGAATTATAAATATTAATTTGGATACCTCCAAATAAGAATCATAATTACAGATTGACAATTATATTTAGAATTTAAATGTTTTATTACAATTAAAACTTTTAAATTTATAATTATCCGAATCAATGTTTACAAATAATTTTTTAAAAAAGTGTTATTAGAGATTTAATTGTTATAAATTACTTATTTTGAGACTTTAATGTTATTCTTCGGATTACTTCCACACTACCATTCCCAGTGTTCTTCACTTCAACCAGCGACAAAAGACTTTTGTCATCCTTTACTTGGTGCTGCTAAAATAATTGATTTAATGTTGAATTTGTCATGAACTCCAGTAATTGAATTGCCAGAATTAATATTATAAAGCATAGAAAGTTTGAATGCTATAGAAATACTCTCCAAATACTGATATAAGATTCAAATATCATATTACAAAGATATCAACAAAAAAGAAAGTGCAAAAAAGGAAGTGAAACAGAAATGTTAGAGAGAAAAAGAAACTCCCAATATGTGGGATTAGAGAGAAAACATCGTAATATGAATACTTCAAAAGCCAAGTGGGATGTTGAGTTGGAAAGGTCAATATATAGGTTTCAGTTTTTATGGTTTAATAACTTAGACTGACAATTGGTGATATAATAACAAAATAAAAATAATAGTAAATGTATATATAAAATATATAAAAAATAACCTATACCATGTTTAGTTGTTAATAAAATAACACAACATGGCAATAAATTAATAATATTATAGATTATAATTTATAACTTGTTAATTATAGATGAGTTTTGGCTAAATTAGATTTGAATAAGCTTAAAAGTATTTACATTTACATTTATAACTACCAACATCTTCATAAAAATATGGTCTTAAATAATATTATGTACATGTTATTGTTCCAAAAATGAAGTTGGCTTTTAGTGAGGATCTATTTTCTTTTTTTGAATTTTCATAGTTTTTTAAATTTTAATTTTTTTAATATTATGTTTAGAACCATTTAGTTTTTAAAATTAAACTCTAGCTTCCGGCTCAATAGTGAGCACGACTCTAGTTCAACTCAACTCAATCATGTGAATGATTTATTTATTTTGTTCAAACTGAATAGTTAATGGCTCCTGTTGACAGCTTAATCATTCTTTGCATTTAGCCTTTGCTCTTAATATAGTGTAATCACCTTGCTCCACTCACTTCCACATGTCTTTGCATGAATCTCACCATAAGCATGTAACTTGAGGTATGGATTCTCTCTTCTTCCTTTCTATCCTCTTCCCTTATTTTCTCTTTCTAGCCACACACATTGAGAGAGAGAGATTGAGAGAGAGAGAGAGGAGAGAGAGTCCTCACCCAATAACCTCACCATGCATAAGCAAGTGCTCTTCTCGACTCACTTTATCATGCATTATGGCAGAATTATTTATGGTTAAGTTACCTTTGTTATCTCATTAATTAAAGGCTTTAATTTAATTTAAGATTTAATTGCCATCCATATTGCATCAGTTTCCCAAACTGAATAGGCACATAACAGAATTAGCAAGTTCATCTCATTTATTCATCAGTCCCTCACGAGAGCAAAGCACACCACAACATGCCACGTGTCGCTCTATAAATGCAGGGCCCACATAGGATCCTTACAATATGATGTTGAAGGACTACTTCTTCCACACGCAGCTAACAGTTTCGGCGATTAATGCAGTAAGAAACAAACCACCTCTGTTTGATAGAGTTTCTTCAGCTTCCTCTGCTAGTTAATATTGTTTACTGGGAGAATGTTAATGAAAGATTTCTGAAAGAATTTAATATCTTACATAGACTTAAGTAGATCGAATACTATTAAGACAAGAACTTCACTTATGAATTTTTAATGTTTACTTGTCACAGTCTTTTTGTAAAATTAAATTGCTTGCAAGGTCTTTCATTAATATTTTTCCTTATTTATATGCTCATCGCATTGTCTCTTTCTTTTATGTTAAGTTTTGTTTGGTTAAACGTATAGTTGGACTTTGATTGTGTAGATATCTCAGCTAGTTGCTAAAATGTGGAGCATTTGTACTTCACACACTTGCTAATAACTAATAAGCACGTGACTCTCCAAAAAATGCATACGAAATTTGCAACAAAATTTTTGTTTGGGTGAATGGGGATTTAAATTTAAACCAAATTTATTATTTATATACATAAAACTATATAGATGGGACTACTTATTTTTATTGGTTTTGCAACTTTACATTTTCTATACCACTCCAATAAAAGATTTTAAATTTACAAATTTAAAATTTAAAATTTAAATTTAAATTCATCTACATAAACGTGATTTAAAGTTAATCCAAATATTACATAATATATCATTATTCATTAGGTAGAACTTACATTACCTTCAACTTGTATACTATTAGAGTGTAAAAAAAAATCTCACATCTAAAATATTAAAAAATGGATCATAATATATAAAGTTTAGGAATTATCTAATCAAATGGCTTAAGTTATTTTAATAAAGTATATTATCCTTAAGCATAGTTAATATATTAAATCCAACATGGTATCATGAGCCATTCGATTGATAGACAAAAAAAAGAATGAAAGAAATGAAAGATGAAAAAAAAAATACAACAAGAAGTTAAAAAAAAAAAAGAAAGAGAGAAGAAAAGAGAGAAGAAGAAGAAAAAAGGAGAAAAAAATTAAATAGACTTGAAGCCAATATTAAAGTGTAAAAAAAATCTTACATTTAAAATGTTAGAAAATAAATCATGATATATAAATCTTAAGAAATATCTAATCAAATGGTTTAAATTATTTTGGTAGAATATGCTATCCTCAAGCATATTGAATATATTAAATCTAAAACATATTTCATAGACTGTAATTAATTTTTTTTTCACATCTTTCACAATAACTTACCCTATGAAATACAGTCTCGTCTACACACAAACACCTACATTTAGAAGAGTTAGTTTCTCGTTTGATTAAGCTACTAGCATGAAAATAAAGAAAGTGTTTATTACAAATTTATGTATAATCATTATGAAATTTCGCATTAGAATGGTATTTTACTAAAATATCCTTATTCATTAACGTTCTCACTTTCTTTAGTGGCTAATCAGTTTTCATTCTTATTTCTTATTCTTCTGATCCTATTTCTTAAGGGGGGGTGGATTTATTCTTATTTCTTACTCCTCTAATGATAAAGAGAGTATTTGTTTTCATCTTATTCATGGAGCACTTTAATGATAATTATATTCATATTTATCCTCTTGTCTTTATTAAATGTTTGGAAGGTTATTAAATGTTAGATTATTTTATTTTGGCTAAAATATATAAACCGCTTCTGAACTTTGAGACAGTTGTATAAGATTTTTATCTTTAAAAGTTTAAAATTAACCTTCTTAACCTTTAATTTTATTTTTTAAAACCCCTATTGTTAATTATGTTATTTTTTCATGAGGGTTAAAATGTCATTAAACTAAAAAATATTATTAAAAAAATTATATTGTATAACTATTTGTAATAAATTTTTTATATTTTTTGAATAGTTGATGCATTGATAACAAAAAAATATATTATTATCACTGTATAAAATTTTAAATATTTATATTTATATTAGTTTTATTCATGTTTATTTGTTTAATTTTATTTTTTTAAAAGATAAATTTTTATTTATATTTTCATGTTAGATTAATATAATGCACATGGCTAAAATATTTAAAATTTTAAATAATATTATGTTAGATTAACTTATCCTTTAATACTAGATAAAACTAACACAAAAGTAAATATTTAAAATTTTATATGGTGATAATAACATTTGTTTTGACTGTTATCAATGCCTCAACCATCCAAAAAATAAAATAAATTAATTAGTCATAGTTTTGCAATATAATATCTTGTTTAATGACATATTTTAGTTGAATGACATTTTAACTCTTATAAAAAAGTAACATAATTAACAATAGGAGTTTGAAAAATAAAATTAAAGGTTAGAAGGGTTAATTTTAAACTTTTAAAAGTTAGAGATGTTATATGCAAATGTCTTAAAATTTAGAAAAGTTTTATGCATTTTTACCTTTTATTTTTAACATATGTATATTTAATAGGGACAAGTTAAAAATTTGTTGAATTTTGAAGTAGAGTTAATAAGATTTAAGATTTTGTTATTCCTATAAAAATGCTAGAAATAATTTATAAATAGAATTAGAGGAGTAATAAATACTTTCCATTAATTATTATTTTTGTTATTGAAGGATAAAATGTTAAAAATATTGCATGTCAGCACTGAAATTTGAGTATTTTCTTCATTATCATTGCTGTTGCCCCAATTTACTATGCTTAATTGGCAGCAGCACAAGTGGGTCAGTTCATAAAGTCTGATAAACTTTCAGAGTCATCTTTCAGCCATGGCGGAGGACTCACATCTGTTGGTGCACTTCACGTACTTCATAAGAGTGTCTGTGACTCCATGTTCTTCTTTCAGAAATTTAACTTCCCTTTCACAAAAAGTAGTGACCCTTTTTCTTTTTTCATTCTAGCTAAGTCGTGAAGTGAAGAAGTAACGAGGTTTAAGCTACAGGAATGTTGTTTTCGTGAAGGTTCTTGAAAGTGTTTAAGCTACAAGAACGTTGTTTTCATGAATATTCAAATAATTACAAATTTAAAAACTTCAATTACATATAAAATATTTAAACCACAAATATAACTTTCAATTTACTATTAAAATTCTTGTTCGCAATTGTTTAAATCAATATTTTCAGCTAATTTTTTTTAAATTTTTGTCAGAAATCAACCAATTATTAATTTCCTCATTTAAGATTGTATCTTCACTCTCACAAGAAAATTTGAGCAAGAGAACTCCACCCCCCCCCCCCCAAAATTACTTGTATGCAAAAATTGAGTTCTTTGTCCTGCCTATAGATTTCAGACATCAACGCATGTTCAAATTACTATCCATATCTAGTTTGAGTTTAAATATAAAATACACAGCAAACTCTGTCCAACCCCCCTAATTTCCATGCAACACATCAAGCAGTCTAAAACATTTGGAGGTTAGTTTTATCATCTCAAACACCTCACTTTGGTTTGTCACTTAAGGTTACAAGAGATTTGAGAACACCAGGACTAATCTTATCAGCAATGGCACCAGTCTCAGAAATCAGATAAGATTTCTCTTTCACAAGGCTTTGAAGTCTCTTGGCCTCAAAGTCAAGTTTTGCTCGATCTGTTTCTATAATGGTATGAGCAGCATGAAATGGAATACTTGCAAAGATATCAGTTCCTGGAAACATCATCCAAGTCTGTTCACCATAGTCATGGTTGCCACAAGTGGTACACACCTCTCGCACCAAAGGTCTTGAAGTAGTTCCCATCACTTCCTTCATTATTGAATCAAAAGCAGATGGGATGCTACTCTTTGTTGTCTTGGCCCTTCTCCTTAAGGCAGTGAGTGCTTCCCTGTTTCCATTTCTCAGCTTATCGTTCTCAACCAACTGGTTCCGGGCTAAGAGAAGATGTTCGGCTTCGACTTCCAGCTCTGTTAACTTTTTCTGGAACTGCTGCATGTTCTCGTCCATTTCTATATAATATTTCCTTTTGGAACTTCAATGGAAGCAGGAACTGATATTGGGCTGCAATGCAAGTGAAGAGTTATGGATGACTGCACAAGGACTTCCTATTCAGAAAATAAAAAAAGAATAAGCTTAGACTCTCTCTAAAGAAACATAACAAGGTCAAAAGGATTGTTAAGGGATTGGATCTTTGTTGGGAAATCAGGTTGAAGTGAATAGAGACAGCATAGAAGCCTTGAATCTGATTCTTAGAGACAATATTACAAATCACCCTTTCCAGGAGGAAATCCTTAAGGCTAAAAGATTAATTCAGAGAAACCGGTCTCTTCATTTCAGTTTTATTTATAGAGGCAAATGAATGTGCAAATATTTTAGCTAGAATTTCTCATGACTTATATTACCCATTTTGGGCTTTTGATCATCCTCCACCTCCTTGTTCTAAGGTGGCGGATGATGAAATGGTGTCTAGAAATGCTTGAACATTTGCACTTTGTTTCTTGTACCTTCTTGGTTAGTTAATTAATATATATCCATGTTTATTCAAAAAAAAAAAAAAAAAGATCCTCCAAATAATATCTACTTGACATTACTAGATGCGCATTGCTTAGACATTTAAAATAGAATTTCGCTTAAAATTAGTCTGATCAGGAATTTTATTAGAATCAGATAAGCACTCTTACATTTGCTAATTTACTCATCAACCTCCTAATATCTGAAATCTTGATTAATATCTGAAAATCTTGAGAAGAAGCCAGATTAGTATCAATGTTCATGTTCTGAGAGGGAGACATTATACTTTTAGTGCCAAAACCACAGTACACCATCACCACTTAATCTAAGCTAACCAATTCAACTATTTTTTTTCCTTACATTCATAACAAACATAAATACAATAGTATAGCAGAAATTCTACACAAGTCATATTCCTGTGTCGGTATTTTAATCAAGATGGCTCTAATCAGTAGTTAAGCGAGTTCGATGAACCACAACAATCTTCTGACATTTTGAGTATCATAACTCTGTACACATTATGTTGAAGAAACTGAACTCAGAGTAATAATCACTTACTTGAACAAGACAATTCCATTTAATTGCGTATTCTTATAAATTGATGATTGAATCAGATCACAATAATCCAGATCATAGCCGGACTTATACTGAAATCTTTGAAATATGCATAGTTAATTTTTGTTCCAGATACTTTGACACAACACGAGCCAAGTCATTTACAAAATTATACATCACAAATACCTTGAGAATTTCCTAAATTGATGATAATATAAAGAGATTAATAAACAGAATGACAATACACAACAAACCCTGCTTTGCAAAACGACACAATCCAAGGCATACGAAGAGGGAAAAAGCATAATAGCCAATTACACACACCATTCAAGCAAAAACTAGTTAAAAACAAAAAACAAAAAAAGAAAGAGACTAAACTCAATCTGCAAAATATTCCCAAATTCAAAAGCGTCAATATTCAAACGATTACACGACCAGATTCAAACCAAATTAAAATCAAAACTTTGAAACAAAGCAAGAACAACAACTCAGGGAACAGATGATGCGGGGAACAAATTCAAATTTAGATTCAAAGATCGATTGAATAAACCAATCTCACGGGATTCATGGAAGGCCCTAGAGTTCGAATTTTCTTCACTACTTGCCCGAGAACAACCGCGCGCCGGGTTGACAACGGTGGACGGCGTCCGACGGAGTGAAAGTGCTTGTTCTCAGACGAAGAAAAATGAATCCGCTGCTGCTTAGCGCGAGACTGTTTTTTCGAGGCTTATAATTAAGTTATATGTAAAATTACAAATATATCCCACATTAAAAAATTATTTATAAATAAATCTTTTAAATTTGTGAAAATATTCTTAAATCTGTTGCAAGTTTACAAGTCAAACATATTACATTTATAATTATTTTTTTAAAATAACACTTTAACAATTATAAGTTAATCTTAAACTTAATATTGGCAATTTTTTTTTTTGACCAATAAAGGGGAAAGATGCATTAAATGAAAAGAGAACAGAGTTTAAACCATAAGCCAAAGGCAAAGGCAACAACACAAAAACAAAATAAAAATACATCTAGCCAATCCCTTAGAAGAGAGCTGTTGAGAGGTAGTCTAAAATGGACATGAATCTTTAAAGAGTATTGATGAAATAGGGAGTAAAGGTTTATGAACCCAACCTAAAGGTTCCACTCCCTTAGAAACAGAGGCAGCGAGATAATCAGCAGCAAGATTCCCTAATCGTCTAATCAGAGAGAAGCATAGCAAAGGAAAAGATTTAGTACTCTGTATCAGGTCATATAACAGCCTATGAAACAACCAATTACAACTATCATAGCATTTAGATGACAAGCTCTAAAAAGATCTTAATAGTCAAACTCCAAAACTATCGGTTGATGAATTTCAGCCTAAAGTAAAGAAAGAGCTTTCTGGCACGCAAGTATTTCAGACATAAACCCAGATGAAGCAGTGACACTTTCACACCAACCCTTGATGAAATTGCATGAATGGTCTCTCCACACTATGCCTATACCAACCTGGCCAGAAGCTAGAAATGAGCCATCACAATTTACTTTAAGTACATTCAGTGAAGGGAGCATCTAGATTCTAGACACAGGTTCAATGATAGTTGTAGCAGGTTCTTCCTTAAAGTTTACTTTCCAAAATTTAGAGACAGCGGCATTAGTAGTTGATACTACTAAGAAAGGATCAACAACAGCCGCTAAAAAGATTGAGGCTAATCTCCTCTTCCAAATATTCCAACATAAGTTAGCAATATACAATTTGCCAAAATCATCAATTAAGGAGTCATGGAGGAAGAACTTACAGCAACAACGATCAAAAGATGTAATATGAGTAGCATCAATCTTCAGGGTCAAAAAATAACCAAACCAAGCTTGCTTGGCCCAATTACAGAGAAGAAGCATATGCTCAACAGTTTTAGGATGTGAATGACATATGGGGCATAGTAGATCAGTTGTATATTTCCTATTATAAAGTGCTTGTTTGGTGGCAAGAGAGTAATTCAAAGCTCTCCAAAGAAAATGTTTGATTTTTGGTTGGAGCTTGAGCTGCCAAATACATTTCTACAGATCAATGGAGATAATGGATGAGGTACTAGGAGTTTCACTAATCACTAGGGAAGACTTGGCTAAAGCTTTTCGGTAACCAAGCTTGGATGAGTAAAGACCATTGTTAGCAGCGGACCAAACAAGAGAATCAGCAATAGAATTTTTTGGTATATAAGTATTTAAGATACCAGCAAGTGTATCTATGGTGCAACTGGTTGAAATCTCTTCCAATTTCCAATGACCATCAATAATAAGCTCAGTTACTTTGAGATCTTTGTTAATAGTAGCTCCTTCAACAGGTGTTGCAATAAAATTTGGTAAGCTGGGTATCCACTTATCTGTCCAAACTTTGACTTCTTCACCTACACCCAATTTCCAGCAAAGGTCTTTTGATAGTAACTCTCTCCTAGTAAGAAAGCTACTCCAAGCCCAAGAAGCATGAGAGCCTTTGGGAGATTTGTCTCCAATTGAATTTGATTGTATTTTAATTTGACCTAATCAGTTAGTCATTTAAAAAAAAACAAAAAATAGTAGATCTTAAAAGTGAATTTACATAACTTTTACAATGGTTTTTAAATTTTACAAATTAATTTACAAGTCAATTTTTTGAATTTATAAGGCATCTTTCTAAATTTATAGGCCCAAATTAAAATTCTATAACTTAATAAGTTAAAGAACAACTTGTAAATTCAATAGGTTGATTTAGAAATCTACTTATGAATTTCATAGGTTGATTTGGAAATTTGTAATTCAATTTGTAAAATTTAAAGAACAAAAACAAAAATTAGGTAAAATCATTTGTAAATATATGAGATTAACTTGTAAAATCTAAAAGATTGACTTATAAATGGGGTTTATCTTTAGTGCTCATTAGTGTAATTACATTTGAACCATCTGGATTTTTATCCAAATGGTCCAAATTTAAAGTAATATTATATATTTTTATTTTATATTTATTTAAATAAAAATTATAAAATGTTTTTAATAATTTTTTTATTTTTAATCTAATCTAGATTTAATTGGAGGGTTAAATTGGGTCCTCCAAATTAAATCTAGACTAGAATGAAAATAAAAAAAAATATTTTTTATAATTTTAGAAATTTTTATTTTAATAAATATAAAATAAAAAGATATAATAACACTTTAAATTTGAACCATCCAAAGATCTTATCACATTGATGAGCACTAAAGTTGAACTCCTCGTAAATGTTAAAGTTTAAATTTTTGTAGAAATTTACATGTAAATTTTTCCTTCTCTACCTCACAACAATTTAGGTCTCATTTGATATAATGGAAGAGTTTTTAATAGAACTAGAATTGGAATTGAAATCAAAATTTGAATAGGAAATGGAATTGAATTAAGTTTTAAAAGTATATTTGGTATGAAGATAGAATCTTGACATAATTTTAATAAATATATGTATTTAAAATTAAAATGACCAAAGTACCCTTTAAAAAATTGAGACTAGCTTCTCCCTCATTCAATTTTGATCTGTAACCTTTTCTCATTAACACCTTTCCACTATCAAGTATGCCCACTACCATAGTGAAAAAGAAAAAATCAAATACCCACCACCTGTAGATTCAACTTCGATCTCGTCATCCTCTCTCCAACACTATGCCCACAGTATCCACCGTGAGAAAGCCTCTAATTGAAGGCTTATTCAAGGGTCATCTTCAAATTCATCAAATCGAAGAAGAAAGCTCAACAGGTCTCTTGAGATTCATCACCACCCGCCGTCATTTAGACTTGGAGTTTTATGCTCCCTACCATGAAAGAGCTGTGAAGACCCATAATCTACCATATGGAAGACAAATGGGCCTAATCTATCATTCAAAGAAGAATGAAGTGGTAAAGGAGATTTCATGAAAGAGGTGTAGGAAATAACGGGCGATAAAGGCAGAGCAGTGGCTGTGCAAGTCCGACGATAGTTGTCGAGGTGCAGTTCTGACAGTGTTTTATTGAGGGCAAAGAGGTCTCAAGAATAGATTCCATGATAATTGATCTGATTCCATTGACTTGAAGACAGAATCAAATTTCGACCTTTTTGATTGAATTAAGATTCTTGAGAATAAAAAATCAAGGCTACCAAACGTGCTCCATCCAAGAATCCTTTTCTAATTTTGATTCCTAATGAAGAATTTTGAGATACCAAACATGGCCTTTTAAGTTTTCAAAGATGCCTCCAGAAACTTCTCAAGCCATAATGCAGATATTATTGAAAAATTACCAAATGTTAAGGGGTTGTTTGCATGGCATGAGATGAATTTATACATCAACTTACTCATTCATGATGAAGACTTGCCCAAATTAGAAGTATGAGCGAATTCTAAAAAACTACTAATCTCATTACTCATATTATCGTTTACATTCTCAAAGAATTTTTTTTTTTGTTTTTATCAAAGGTAGCCTTTATTAAACCAACTTAGTCCTTATTTGTCTTTGCAAAGAGAATAAGATCATCTGCCAAAAACAAGTGAGATATACTAAATCAAAATAGTTGCCAACACTCACACTTAACTGCCCCTTGGATAAGATGATTGAACTTTGCAATGACCTGAACAAAAAGATGAGGAGAAAGGAGATCTCCTTGATGCAAACCCCTTGTTAAGTGAAATTTATGTGCTTTCTCCTCATTCCATAGTAGTTGCATGCTTGGAGAAGAAATGCATTCTTTAATAAAATTCAATATTATTGGCAGAAACTTTAATTCTTTGAGGCAATCAAAGAAAAATTCCTACCAATTCAATCGTTAATCTTTCTCCAAATCGATCTTAATGGCTATAAAAATTTTCTTTTGTTTCCTCATACATTGCATGGAGTGAATAATTTCCTTAACAAGAGTAATGTTGTTTGCACTCTATCACCCCTTCACAAAGCTACACTAGTTAGGCGTAACAATCTGAGACATAACATCCTTTAATCAATAACAATGACTTTCATCACAATCTTATAAATAACCTTTCACAAACTAACCGTCAAAATTCCTTTATATTCTAGGAGTGATCCATATTGGGTATGTTAGAAAATGAACTAATTAATTAAGGATAATTCTAGAATAATAGAGAAACAAGCAAGCTAAAAGTAGTGAAATAAATCAAGAATAATTCGAAAGTCGAGCCTCTGGTTGAAGCAACACAAAAGCAGTAAAAAAAATATGAAATGCTACAAAACAAAAATTAAAACTGACATATAAGTATTATAAATAAGAGTCTTAGGATGTTGTAGCTTGTGTGAGATAAACAGCATGTTATGTAGCGTGCAAGTGAGAGAGTCAATGTGTGTGAGGTGAGTGAGACAAAGAAAGGGGTGTGAATTGGTCAAATAAATGAGTCCATTAACATTTGTTATTTTACGTTGGTAAAAAAAAAAATTGTTATTTTACATGAAAAGTTAATTATAATCAAATCCCATAACTTAAAAGTATTTCCACGATCTGCCCAGAAAAAAGAATATTTTCACAAAATTTACAAAACGTACTTGTAAATAAATCCCATTAGCACCTATATGTAATTTTCCCTACAAATAATTGTTTAATCCAAACTGATCCCATTAAGAAGCCAATCAAGTCTCAACTACGCGAATAATTGGTGATTTGACTTAAGTTTTATCAAAGTCAAAGCAAACTATACTTTGGAACACATAATCGATAGAGCAATTTTTTTTTTTTTATAACCATCAATCAATAGAGCCAATTTTTTTTAAAAAAAAACATGAAATCTAATAAAAATTCAATCTTGACCAAAAAAAATGTCATAAAAAATCATTTAAAATATATAGGTAACTTTTTTAAGCATTCAAGTAACATTTTCAATTAAGAACTCTATAAATGACCTCTAATATTAAAGAGATTAATGTAGAATAAAATAGTTGTCTATAAATGAGAGGCAAAATACCTTATATAAGGATTGCAATTTATTAATAACGTTTCTTTTTTAATTAGAGGAGCATGCACCAACAACCTGAAATTACAAGCAAAGTTAAACCCACAACTTCTCACTTACATGGGAGCTTAAATGCTACTAGGCTATAAGGCTATTGGCACAATTTATTAATAACTACTTTCATCTCATCTGCACAAATTAACAATGGTAATTGCTTCTCAATTCCAAAACAATGATAAATATTTGTTATCAGAATACTGAATACCAGGTTGTCCAACATTTCTTTACACCTCAAAAACATACAATCAACTATTTTTAAACAAAATTAAAAAAAAATCATGCAGAAGTCATGTTTCTCTTGAAAAATGAGTGTTTACACCTAAACTGAAATTGAATATTTCCCCCAATAAAAAAATTGAGACAACAATAAAAAAACAAAAGAAAAGAAGAAAAGAAAAAGAAACATGCCATTCTCGGGATGCCAAAAGAGCATAGACTGAGAAATAATCAAACAGACTATATATATATATATATAAATAAATGGTAAAACTACAAAGTTTCCTAGAAAACTTTTACCTCAAGGATCTCACTGAGTTTTGTAGAGCCTAAAAACAGGAAAAAGCAAGCCATTGCATGCAAATGCATCAAACAGCTATTTCTGATCCCTAAGAGACCAGAATGTAGGTGGTTGCCTCACACTAATTGAAGAAAACGCATCCCTTGATGCTCATATCTACAAAGTACACACACCCAGCTTTAGACAATAATGTCAGAAAGGGGCTGACGTTGTTCGTCGGAGCTGATATTTCGGCTCAGGAGGCGGTGCACAAGGCAACATGCTCTCTAGCTCCTGCAAGTTGAAAGGAAAATTTAAAATAGCAAAACAAAACTCAACCTCAGAGTAAAATCAATGCTTGGATCATTGAACATGAGCATTCTTGATGTGATCCCTCATTTTAAATCATACTCCCTCCAATCCAAAACATAAGCATTTTCTCTCAACTAATCTTGGTCTAAAATATAAGCAACTTAACATTTGTTTAAAAAAAAAAAATTCATTTTACTCCTTGTACTCGTTAACTTTGTGAATTTATAACTTTCTTTTCACTCATTGTAAATTGAAACTAAGGGTAAGAATGGAAAACAATATCCATTTTCATAAGAATAAGGATTTTATTGGTATGTGGATTATTGTCAAGAGCTGCTTATATTTTGGATCTCAGGGAGTAGTGTTTATCACATTTGTGCTTCTCCAACTCGGTCCCGACTCAAATCTTGACTTCTTAGTTAAATATCGACAGTCTTTTTTGTAGCATCACAATTAAAGTACATGTGCATACTTTGTGAACATGTCAGTGATTTGGCTGACAAGCCTAATTTGAACGATGAATGATGACAGATACATACATAAAGATCAATAAACCAGTTCTTCTAGATAGAGAGGTATGTCTACTTAAAAGCAGGTGATCCAAGTCCACGAATTAGTAAGGGGAAAAAATGGTCAGAATCTCATAGATACCGTTCAAATATATGAAACTACATTGAGTAAACATTTACGTTCTGAAACAACCTATGGTACTAAGTAGTCAGACATTCCTTGAAATTCATTATAGAATCTCCTGATACAAATAATGGTAAACCTCATATCTTCATTTCTGTTGCAATGACTCAACCTGGCTTACTATATTTACCAAAGCATACATTAATATATACAGTCTAAGCACATTGAAAGTAACAAAGATTTTCACTTTTGCAGAGAAGCTATGGCTTTGAAGATAACACGGACCCAAAAAAAAAAAAGTCAGCAGTAATAAGGATATAGGAACAGGCAAAAAACTGACTCAACTGAATTTCCTGGTTGAACAAGCTAGACTATTCAATATGCAATACTTGTGAAACGCTTTGAAAAACTATACTGAATTACGTTTCATTTTACCTGATGCCCTCACACACACACACGTGTCACATTGCAAGTGGAGATGTTTACTCGATCCCTCCTCAAAATTTGACCCCTAAGTATAATTAATATATATAACTAACCAATTACAAGGATTTTTTTCCCCCCAAAGTTCTGGATAGGACGTATAAATATAAACTCTGCATTCTGTCTATTTTATCAAATGAATCATGCCATAAAACACTTATTTTATTTGTTCATGCTAAAACAGAGTGCATTTGCAAAATGAAACAGTGCAAGGCCAATTACATGGAGAGGATGAATAACATGAAGAGGTAGAGTTGAAGAGAATCGCCAAGTATACACGCCAAATCATGTGAGAGAATGAAGAAGTGCAGAAGAGAGCACAGGCAGAAGAAATTGAAGAGGAGGGAGACTAGTTTAGGACATGGGGAACATGAAACTGGACATGGGAAACGGGAGACATTTAATTGGTGATTGACTTCTTTTGATAAATCAGGTAACAGTAAAACTGGAATAGAAAATTTGTCAGACTAACGATTTCAATCATAATATTTTCAAATCTATTACTTAATAATAATTTTTTTATAGACACAAAGTTTAGTTGAGTTGGGACTGAACCATTCATAATAAGCCATGAACACACACCCAAACCCTAGTTAAATACAATTTTTCACTCCTGCTATATAATAAATCCACGCTTTTTCTAATTAAATTATTTTGCATTTTTAATATATAATTTTAATGACAATGAATATGTATCCTCCTCCATTAGCAGGATAACATGTACTAAAATAACACAGTGACCATAACTCACCTTGCACCGCAATCGACATAAATTAATGTACCCTGTGCAACCCATACCGCATATCATCGTGAACCATGAATTAGGTAACAATGAACTGAACATACCCCAAAGAGTATATATTTATATATTTTATAGTGTACTGAAATACTGATTAAGGTAATCATTAGAACTATCAAGGAGTAACAGTCAAAAGGAACATTTGAAATCCACCAAAGCTACTATAGTGCCAAAATTGTTCTGTCCACAAAGTTGGCAATGCTTGCTGATTTGAAAATGCCTATACAATATAATTATGACAAAACAAAAAAAGTAGAGAATTCGTCTGATTATATGATTTATTAGTATTATAATTCATCATAGTTTCAATCAAGCATATCAAAATTCATAAATTATGGGAAATTGAACGAATGAAACATGGTGTAGCATGGGTCAATATAAACAACTTGTTTCTTTAAAAATTATAAAAATGAATTTGAAAACAGACAGGGAAAGAAAATCATTTGCTCCAAACATCAATTCAAAAGATATTTGACACAAATAACAAACCGCTTCCCATCTACGTATTTAAAAAAAAACAATATTTTTTCATTATGTTCAACTCTAATCCATACCAAGAAAATTCCTCATGCAAAGTGTTTTTGAATACAGTGGATTTGCTATTTCTTAAAGCATGCCAAGCCAATCAACCAGAGGATTCTGAAAAGTTATTAAGAAATTGCTGGCTAAACCAAATCATAACGGTAGACTGGATACCGATAACAAGCTGATGCTGTGAAAGCCGTTGATAGTGTTATTATTAAAACATTACTTCCCAGACAGAGTAATGCGGAAACGCCTATTATTGCAAAGCACTTCAAATTGTAAGATCAAGCGTGAGCAGAGAATTTAGTGGAGACAATGACAGTCAATAAGAAACTCTACTTCTCTACATATATTATGAATTCAAATCTTGACAAAATCATAATGCATCAAGTTGTCAAACACCATTAAGAACGAATTTAAGAATAGCACATCCTATTTCCAACATGTATTATGAAACAAATAGATATTACTTTACTTTTAAGACAGAAAAATATATCCAGTACTTTGAATTGATAGATAGAGATATGAAAAGAAATCAATCCAAAATGACAAAAAAGAATCTAACCTTCTGTTTCCTCAACAACTCATTTTCCTCTTCCAAACGTGAGACTTTATTCTCCAATTCATGAGTGTAAGCCTGCTTTTATCATTCAGGTTAAGGAATCTTACCAGGCACTACCAGACCTCGAAGAATGAGAGCTTAAACAGCATAGCAATGAATCAAGAAGGAAAGAAAAAATTAACCTGCTTTCTTGCTCTTGAACGGGCAGCAGATTCCCGATTCTTGATCATCCTTTTCTGCCTCCTCTCAACAGTTTTCTCAATCATGTCATCTGGCGTGCCTCTTTTTCTACCAGATGTCTGTGTATCTGACAGTGGTCCCATCATAGGTGAAGGCAGTGCCACTGGAATTTCAGCAAAAGGAACATCCAGTGCAGAACCAGCTCCCATATGTAATGGCTGACCCATATTATGGCCAGGCATATAAATTCCCATTAAATTTTGTTGAGGATGCTGATATTGTGGTTGTGGATACTGGATCCACTGACCTTGTTGAGGAAACTGTGGTGCTGAATCAGTACCAACCACGGGACCTGTATTCTTTTTATCAGAAGAAGCTTCCGCAACAACTCCTGCTTTCACCAAGAAATCCTCTAATGTCATCTCTCCCAGAGTAGGCTGCCTCTCCCGAGTCTTCTTCCCCTCATTGCTTTTGTTTTGTTGGATATCTCGCCAAACCTCATCAACTGTCTTCTTGCTTAGTGCACTAGTTAATGACAGACTAGCTTGACGCTGAAGAGCTGTTTGACTAGCTTGTGCTGGGCCTTCAATGTCCATGCCCATAGACTGGTTTGCCTCAGCACTCCATACGTTTTTTAGAAGCTCGTCAAGGTTCATACTACTTAATGGCTTTCCTAAGTCACCCAATTGATTCTGAACCTCATCAAGTGTGAGACTGTACATTGAATTTTGCCGCACCAAAGGCTGGAACTGTGACTGTTTTCCATTACTGTCACCGCCGCCTTGAGACCCCATAGTTTGGATACCCATTCACCAATTATGAGTGTCCCACTCAGACTTTTAGTGCTAAAAGACTAAAGGTAAGTGATCTGAAATTTCCATCCTGCCCCACAAAGTCGTAACCTAACACAAAACTCAAAAGTAAGACTCAATTTTGCAAAGATTGTTCAAAATTAAGATATCATGTAGCCATAAAGAGGAACCATAATTTCCTTTGACAATAAATTTTTTAACATAAAACCAAAGGATTAAAACCGGTCCAGAAACAAGATGATGAAGCAGACCATCCTTTCAGAAGAATGAACCAAAACAGTTGTCAAGTCGAGAGAAGAATCAGAGGAATATTCTGTTTTTCTTTTTCCCCTTTTATAAACTGAACAAAAAATCAACTTTCAAAAAATCTCAGAATATGGAAAGGAGAGCAATTTTCTAAAGGGAAAGAACACTGGTATGCATGTCAGATCAACCATTCACTGAGACAATAATAAATTTAAGCAAGTGAGGATCAATAAACTCAAAGGCATCCTTCTTAAGACAAAATAAGGACACACTCTTTTTCCCAGATAAACATCGAAATGGATTTTGAAATTTGGATCACCTGCATGCAGGCCCAGCAGACAGAGTCAAATAGTTGTCTCAAATCAATTCCCTTTGAACCCCATACCAAATGTTCAAACACAGAAACGCCCATCGGAACTTCCGTTTCTAAACCCTTTGGGAAGAGCATCAGGGTCCGATTTCCCATAAAGTCAGATATGGGAAAACGATATGAAACAGAGAATGGAGAAAATTGATCAAAAATGAAATTAAGATAAGAAATTCTTTCCCTAGCATCCAAAACACCTGCAGAAAAATTAACTGAGTAACAGGGGAGGCAACCAGAAAGAAAAACCGTTTGCATGCGAAAAATTCAGCTTCACTGTCCCGAAAAAAATTCCCGAGAAATGCCAGGAAATGAGATCAAACTCACCACAACCCAAGTCCTTGTCGCTGAAATACAGTTCCAAATTTCAAATTTGGAAAGCATATAATCATAACATTAAGAAGCAAGAGTGTGCTTTAACGGAAAAATATCAAATAATAAATAAAATAAGTAAAAAGTACCTTCCTCCCTGAATCAACCAGAACAACCGATCCGAAGTTATTCACTGAGTGATCAAAACAATGACTCAAAGCGAAATGTTTTTGCGAAGCAAGAGGATGAATAAACCCTCCACGACTGTATATGCACAATGTATTTTGGTTTCGCAAAGACCATTCCAGGTGGGCGTGAGAGAGAGAGAGAGAGAGAGAGAGAGAGAGAGAGAGAGAGAGAGAGAGTGAGAGAAGGATTGAGATTTACCCAAAAGTTTTTTATACGCAAGAAAATAATGAAAGTTTACTGCTTTGTCTTGGATTTTCGATTTTGTCTGCAAATGAGGAAACTTTACCATGTGGGGAGCCTCACCTGGTAATCATGATCTATTTCTGTTTTATTGGCTCACACTGCTTCTGTCGCCCAATCACGCAACTCCAAGTAGCGATCTCATGTTCCACTTACAATGATGATCTCACAAACTTTTGTGTTTATTTGTTTATGCATTTTCTATAGACTTGGAGATCAACTATATAATTTTTAACTTATAGTGTTGATGATAAAAATAAATATTTTTAAGTAATTATAATAAAATATAATAATATTGTTTCTTATATAAATTTTACATTTATGTTATTAATAATTTATTAATTCTTAAATTTTTTTTGCTTGCCTGCATATATCTTCCTATTTTATTGAAAACATGATTGTATGTTAAATGAAAATAATTTTCTTTCTAAAAATTTAATTATTAATTCATTATATTGTAAATAATTACTTATTTTTATTTTTAATAGATTCAACCCCGAGGTGTTAATTGTTAGATGTCGACAAGGCCTATCCTTCTTATTATAAATTATTTCATAATAAGTTTTTGTATTGTTTAAAACAATTATAAAATAATTTTCAAACCAATATTAGATTAATATAATTGTTTTGAGATATTGTCTTAATTTATAACGGAATCCTATTACATGGCGCAAAGTTTAAGAAATAATTCACATCACTCACTATGAATAATGTAATATGCTATAGATTTATATTTTATATTTTATATTAATAATATTTTTAAAAAAATAGGAAATAATTTTGAATTAGGCTTATATAGTTTATTTTATTTTAATCAAGCATTTATAGTTTAACTAATTAAATTTTTTAATCTTAAAAGTTAAAATCCTTACATTTTTCCCTTAAACAATAAAATAAAAAACTTTTATATTTTTATTAAATGATTATATGACTTTAAAATTAATTACATAATTTTTATAATTCAAAATTTATATAATTAGGTTGTTTTTTAAATATTTTTTATACATGTAAAATTTTCATTAAAAAATTTTAATAAAAATGTAAACAGTAGATTAAATCATTTTTTTATTTTGGCTAAAAGTATTCATATTAAATTTTCTGCAAACTTCAGGAGTATTCTTGTTTTATAAAATTTAATAATTCATTATTAATTTTAACATTCAAAGGTCAATATATATAATGGATAAAACTATAATTGCTCAATTAAAATAAAGTAAACTATAAGGATCTAATTCAAAATTGATTGAAACTGTAAGGATCTATGAGTATATTTTTCTATAATTTTTAATTCCTAAACTTTTTTCAATTATCATTTTAATTCTTAAACTTTGGCTTAGCATAATTTAATCCTTAGAGTTTATTGAAATAAAAAAATTATAGAGACTGAATTATACTAAATTAAAAGATTACAAAGACCACATGGTTTTGAGTTAAATACAATTATAGTCATAGGAATTAAATTATCTTGATTCAAATTTAAACACTAGATCAATAATTAAGAACAAATTCGAGGATCAAAATTATATTTTCTTTGATTTTAAAACAATCCTTTTTATATTTAAAGTTAAAAAAATTGTGTAAATAATTTAATTTAAAGTGCAATAAAATATTTGCAGACACAATTGATTTTGGATAAGATTGATAATAGTGGACTTTTTTTTACAAAAAAAGATATTGATAACACATTCTGACTTGAAAAAAATTGTAATTTTTCTTCGACATGTATGTGTGTATTTGAAAAATTAAAATGTGAATCAAAATAGTACTCCCTTTGGTCCTAACTCCTAAAGTGTAAGAGTTAGAAAACTAATTTATAAAGATTAAGAAAATTAGTTAAGTTAATTATTTGTAAAAATGTGATAAATAATTTAGGAAACTATCTCATTGATAGAAACACTATTTAATATGTGCAATGGTAGAGATAGTTTAGAGAACAAACTATAAACTTGAGAGACAAAATGTATTGATATCTTACATCTTACATTTATTTTTAAAACACGTCCTTTAATTAGCTTCTATATTCAAGAAAAGAAGAAATATAATTGATTATTTGATAATTGCTTGAACAATAATCAAGAGAAACTACAATGTATGATAAAGAGGACACAACAACAAAAGATTGGGGTAAAAAGTGTGTGAAAGCATAATACTATTTTTTGTTCTTTCTTTTTAACAAAAAATAATAATAAAGCATTATGGGAACAAAAGTGGTACATGGTTACAAATATCCATGAGATCATTCTTTACCTTAAAAATCTAAAAATAATATATTTTAAAGTTAAAATTTAAAATCATTATAATCAACTGTGAAATGACATAAATGCTTCCAATCTATTTCTATTAAGAGGTGCCTTTTATAAAAATACATCGGGTCTTTAATATAAGTCATATAGAGAGTTAAACATTTTTCAATTTTACTACTAGCAAATTACAAAAGAAGAAGAAGAAGAATTTAATTCCAATTTAACGTTGCTATATACTTCCTCTCCTTTTAATAAAGACAAAGTTGAAATATTTTAAAATAAATTTAGTGAGTTAATTGTCATTCTATAATTTTAATAAATTAGTTGAAAGTAATTTATAATAAAATCTAGAGCGGCTACATGTATACAACTACAAGACACTTAAGAAAAACATAATTATTAGTTCTTATAATTTTAACATATCCCCATATAGATTCATTTATTTTATCCCATTTATAATATTAGTCTCTATATTTTTTAATATGCCTGAAAGGATGATAAAATAACACTAACAATATTAAATATATATTAACATTTAAAGCCATTAATCCGTGCTAAGGAGAATTATAATTTAACATATTAATAGCGTTATCTACCATTTTTTTTCATGTTTCATGTTTCAATCTATTGAAGCATGGTTCCACCTCGGCACAAATATTAATAACATTAGTCAAATGTTAGTATATTTAATATCATTAATGTCACCTCATCATTTTTTGGATATATTAAAAAATAAAAGGATTAGTATTGCACATGAGATAACTTAAAAGGGCATGAAAAAAATGGGGGAAAAAACTATAAAGACTTATACCAAAAGCATGTTTAAATTATAGGGATTAGTAAGTATATTTTTCCAAACATATAGTATCATATAGCTTATCTCTATTACAATTCCGTCCAATTTTTTTAAAAAAATTTGAAGTATCAAGATTATGTGCCTGAGATATATAATTTGAACTTTGTGCTTCTAAATCGTAGGGTTTGAATTCAATTCGGTATTTTTTAAAAAATTTTCAAATTACATTCATATATATATATATGAAGATATTATAGATGCTTTTTTCCTTCCAAAATATCATAGATTGTTAAAGAAAAATATAATTGAATGCTTATAATAAAAAAATAATACCATCTTCCTTGATGGTTGATTAAAAGAGTATAAGCTTTAGAGACTAAATTATTATAATTTATAAATCAAAATTAAAATAAAGGAGAATATTTTTTATTAAAAATATTTTTTTTTGAAAAAGAAGGGAGAATTATATTCAAAGATTACTCAAAAAAATTATTCATAAATATGAACTAATAATAAGTTCCATCTAAAAAAATTAAGTCACATTTTTATTTTAATAATAATTTATTTCACATTAATTCTTATATATAAATAATTTTTTAAGCAGTATTCCCTCTATTTAAATATATAAGACATTTTTTAAAGAGTTGGATGTTAAAAATGTAAGGCATTTTTAATCTTTTGAGGTGTAATCATTGCTTTTTAAAAAAATATTCCTATTAATAATAACTTTATATTTATTATAAGGTGTTTAATAAAGATAAATATAAAAAGATAAGAATAATTGAAAAGTAAGTAATTATTTTATTGAGATGTGAGATTTGATTGAAAATATTTTATATTTTTAAATAAAAAAAATATTTAAATACGAGTCTTCCAAACCAGAAAAAGAAAAAGATTGGAGTGACGTTTCTGCCTGGAATTTGGATCGTCAAGGTTCAAAAGGCAGACGAAAAAAGGATGCAGGTGCATGGACCGTACAAGGGCAGGTCCGCAGCCTATCCCAATTGTCCCATGACTGACTTTGGTCGTCTGGTGGCAAGTCTTAATTTTGTATCGAGTTTTTTTAATTTATTTTAACTATTGATCTTTTTATTAAAAAAATATAGTAAAGTAATATTGACGTGCTCTGAGATAAAAAATAAATAAATTATGTAAAAATTTCTTATCTCATGTTCTCAATTACATTTGTTTTATGGAAAAATTTGTCACAAAGATCAAAAGTTCAAATATTTGGGCATAAACCTCAAACAAAGACATTAGAACTATCAATTATAATCAAGCCATTGAACTGGCCCTTTTCAATTCAAAAAATCTAAGGTTAGGTTGTTATTTCAGAATGTAAAATGATAATTTAAATTTAAAAGGTTGGCTCTTTTAAGCTTTAAATAAAAGGGTCAACTATATTTTTTAAATTTTAATATTAAAAAATTAAATATTATGTTAATTCTAAAATCATAGTCTCATTTCACTTGGATGAAAAAAAAATATATAAAAAGTTTAATATCTTTACCACTATTGAGGCTTCATAAAGAAAATAATGAAATTATACTGATGTTAATGATAATAAAAATTATCAAGATTTTATTGATAATGCTAGCAAATTCTGATTATTATTGGTATTAATTTTGTAATATTATTTTTTTATTATATTTAAATTTATTATTACATGTATTGACTTAATTTTTTTATAGATTTAATATTACACGTAATAATTTTGTTGAATTTTAAATATGTTTTTTTAAAATTTTTAAATTAAAAAAAAATATAGGGCCAAGGTGCTCACGGCCACTGTTGAGCTAGCCAAACTAAAGCCCTGAAGTGTAATCGGGCTTTATAGAGTCGGTCTAACCC